CTTGTGGAACACTCTGTGACTACTCTATAAATACAGTTGTAATAATTTTCCTTGGTCTCCATAAAGGGCTGTGTAGAGCTACCGTACCTTTTGATATACCACAGTGGGCGGAGCAGGAAACCAAGGGACCGGTACAGAGTTGCACTACAGTTCAGCAAGTCACAATACCTTCATAACCTGCCCAGGTATACGTTGTTTGAATCCTGGCTCACTCTTCTCTGACTTCGACAGGAGATAAACGATGAAACACAGTAGGCGGAGTACATGACTGGGCGAATAATGCTTGTGGCGCTGGATGCCAGCCTGAATTGAAATACCTATCGTATCACCAAACACTCGTTTTGTAAACATTTGACAGCGAATTCTTTGGTTACGCCCCATTTCAACCGTCGTTCCAAGCGATCGATGTTCAAAAAATGAAGGGCGCCGAGTCAATAGGCTATATGGCTTCGTTTAGTTCAACACTGCTACGGGCATCAGAACGAAGTCCCGAATTCGGTCTTTACTGAAACTTCTGCGAAATCTGACTCTCTCAAAGTAACGAACTAAACAGGTCCCTCACAAGTTGGACCAGTAGTGAAGAGGGTGAATATTCAACGCACAACGGATTGTTATGTCAGAACCATTGAAAGTATACACTCGGCATAGCCCTCACCAACCATATCTCGAACTGTTTAATTAGGTCTCGTCACCATTGCCAAGGCTCAAGATAGTTCAGTGGTTTAGGCACGAATTTGCTGACCAGAAGGTTCACGGTTCGAACCCAACCTCGGTATCTTGACAGCTCTTGTCTACACTTGGGCAACCTTGTGATGTTTCGGCTCGCGTGCTTCCTTCGTGTGTCATGGCAGCTAGACACCCAAAGCAGCTGAACAATGATTATTTTTGTTTCGCCACTGCCGCGCACAGGGTGCCGCTATTGAACGGGGAAGAAGAGAGCTCAGAACCTAGATAGCATCATCCATAATGCGTCTTCGACCCGTCCACAGAATTCAGCAACGAACAACAATCTATTTGTATTATGTTGTTGATTGCTGCTCACGGGCAGCATGACTGAAGCAGGAAACGGTCAACACAAAGAAAGGTAGTAATATCACCAGTAGTAAGAGCTTAGGATGCAACCGTAGTAACGTTTGGTAGAGGCGAGATGAATCAGCGGTTGGAGCGCGAATTTATTGACCATAAGGCCTGTGGTTCGACGCCGACCTCTGTCTCTCAACCTTCCCTGTCTAGGCTTGGGTAACCTGGCAGCATCCCAGCATTTGTGCTTCCTTCTGGTGGCATGGCAATTAGACACCGAAAGGGTGCTAAGTTGAATGATTTGACAAGTAGGGTGCTGACGCTGAGCACGGTGGTCTGAGAATCACAGCTGGCGACAGGAAAACAAAAATGAATGATAAACCAACAAGGCTGACTTCCTCACCTGAACAACAAAGTTCCAAGTGCAAAAGAAACAAGAAAACGGGATAATCAGGCCTAAGTTTGAAATCGATACTGAATGGTCAATATTTCACAGTTGGTTGGTCATGCGCACCAGTAATTCGAATCAACAATGTGCCTGACTGATTGGAATGTAGAAAGTTTTGACAGGCACTATCTGTGCCGGCACCGAACGTGAAAGCAACTCAGAATGTCTGTCACTGAAGCTATGCGGTCTACAAAAAACGATGGTGCGTGTGTTTGATTGACTACCACGGCTCCGTATGATTGTTAGTTTATTCCATATCGCCTTAGACACAGTTTGATAGCTCAAAAACTTGAGCCATCGTGTTCACACTGGGTTTCCCGAACCGGGCTGCGTCGAAAAGCGGATGAGAAAAAGGGCGTGCATTTGGATTGGAAAAAAATGACTCACAGTAATCAGTAGGCCGAGGAGAGGAACAGCGCATGCAATGGTGAACGCCCAAGCCAACGGTCGTGGGGCTCGCTTGTCAGCGGGTCTGAACATGTGCTCGATTCCAGGTTTTGCCTTTGTTGGACCAGTGCCAATGAGTGAGCTGGGCCCAGAAGCGCGTTTCATTCCAGCTGTGGATGGACTACGTTGTCGAGAGATATCCACCGAGGCGGCAGTACGTTTAGCCGAATCCGAATGAGTTGGACCCGTGAAGTGTAGATGAACGTTTGCCTAAAAATAGTATAACATAGGTCAGTAGAATGCCGTCTCGACGTCTATCCGAGTCAAATCCTAGTAAAATGTGTTGGGAATCTGTGAGTTTTCAAACAGCTCGTAAAAGACCTTGGAAAGCTACAGTACTCGGAAGCTGAACCAGAAACGAAATTTCTCACCTACATATCGCATTCCTACGGTATGCGATGGGCCAGATGGCCCAATTGGTTAGAGCAAGAATTTACTGATAGGTCCGTGGTTAGAACCCGACCTCTGCCTCTCGACTCCTTTGTCTAGGCTTGGGCAGCCTGACAGTACCACAGCCCTCGTGCAACCTTCGGGTGGCATGGCAGCTGGGTACCGAAAGGGCGCTACAGCTGAACGGCGATTCCTACGGTAAAGTAGTAGCCCCAATCTCGGTCATTTTTACATGTATGAGCTGAACAAAGAGGTTTGGTTGTTGAACATGATCAAGCTCATGGTTACCGTAGAGAGCAAACAGAAAGTGGAAGGTGACATAAACATACAGTTCCCATTCATGGCTGGGAGAAAGTGATGGGTGCGGTTGATTTTTCGATTTGCTTTTCCTGACTAGTTGCACGCACGAGGCAAACAGAGGATGGGTTTTTCGACCTGGCAAGGCATTCATTTGACAAGTCCCCATACCATGTGTATGGGTCAGTTGCTCCTGGATTGATGAATCGCTTCGAAACGATTGACAGTTGAATAATGAAGCTCAAAATTCGTCTGTGACGACGTGGTAGTTGGGCAATAGAAACTTACTCATAAATATTCCGCCAACCATGTACCACACAAAATACTCAAAAAGTTTCTATTCAAACGATCATGAAGCTGATCAACAACTTGAGATTACACTAGCCAAAAAAACGCTTCTGCTGGGTGACCATGTTCCTGCATGCGTTTTAACAATCTGGCGCTCTAGATAGCTAATAAAGACATGAACTTACTGATCGGATGGTTCACGGTTCGAGTCCAACCCCGACATATCGACTGCTCCTGTCTAGGCGTGGGTAAACTGACAGTATCTCAGCCCTTGTGCTTTTTTTCGAGTGACATGCCGGGGTGTTACAGCTGAACTATTATTATTATTATTGATTTGTTTATTTATTGATCCACAGAGCTACGAGGGCAACTGCGGGTCAAAAAAAGCTGTTTGGCATGATAGAAAGTATTTACCATATGCCATAGCAGAGGCTTATCAAACAGCACATCGCCAACAAGTAGCTCCATAGTGTAGATGCCCCCAAGGTTGTCAAATTCGTCCGCCGATCGGTCTTTATCCTGACAAAATGGAAAGGAAAATACACATTGATGTGAAAAGCGAAAAAACCAACAAGCAATACAAACGGCCAAAATGTGGCCAGATTGTTTTAAACGGTTGAGTTTAAAAGGACGAACACATCAGTTAGTAGATGCTTTCCTGATTTTGGGCAACATAATCTTGAGATGAGAAATTCAGGTGCCTGGAAGTGGGCTCGAACTGTCAACCTTCCGCTCCCTACTGAACGAGTGTTCTGCGAACCGAATTACCGAGGACACTTGCACCTGCAAACTCGAAGCTCAATCGGGATTTACCACCCGTCTGCCTAATCGACTAACAATTGTCTGTCGGCACCATTACTGAACCTCGTCTGTGGCTTCCGCATCAGGTGTTTACCTATTAAACAAATATGTGCGAACCATGCGTAAAGCTCAGGTGCATAAGAGTGACGGGAAGCACGGATGCCCAGCAGCTCAGTTGGTAGAGCACCTAGCCGATAAGCTAGAGGCCGCTGGATCAAGTCCAACTCTCTCCAGACGTATCCCTCCATTCACGCCCCCTGTACTTGGCCTATTCATGTCCACAATTGCCAGAGAGTGAGCTAATCTTCAGTTTATCTCACAAGAATCTTCCCGACTCGGTATCACCAAGGTTGCGATATACAAAGTTTAGAATGGGATTAGTTTCGAGTGGCACCATTCAGGACTTCATGACCATTGTCCGGGACTTCGTACATCATTTACGAAGCCACACATAACCTAAGATGGGACTAGTGCTGTCTAGGGCGATAAAGCTATCGGTCAGTAGTGATACGAACTGAAGAATCCACCCTCCAACCAACCAACAGAACTTTTCACTGTAGCACGGACTCGGACTTCGATTATCGAACGAACAACGCTTCGTTGTTTAGTCAATTCTTTAGACAAATCGACCGACCCCAAGCACCACAGAGCCAGTCAGCTACGATCGAACATATCTGAGTATTGAACGAGGCATATAAATAGCAGCGAACCGTGTTAATTCTAATCTGGTTTAACAGTAACAAACTGAGATTTCTCTAAAGCAAAATAAACTCTTTCGGATGGATTTCTGCGCATAAAATACGTACACCCCACGACAAACACAATCTGACCATCCTGTTCTGCCAAACACAACTTCCGCACTTAAAATTCCGGGAAAGTTGAAACTTGGCAGACAAGTGAACAACGCAGTAAACTGTCTAAATGCCGATTTTAAACTTCCGTATTAAAACTTGTAAAAAAACATCGCAAATTAGCATGAAAATGGCTTGTTTCCGCACGGGGATCATATACATCCGACTATGAGAAGAAATATGACAATCCAATTCAAGACGGACATCGGCTGACCACTGCGGTAGCTACAGGAGCTGCGGACATTCCAGAAAGCGATTGCTACAGCGCCCATAAATCGGTAGTGTTCCGCCGTGAAAAAAACAGGTGGGCTTGAATGCCGTAAGGTCAGATAGGCGCAAACTTGTAGAATGAACCATGTTATCCAAACTGAGCAGTCAGCCCGTGTTCAGTTTAGCGAACACAAGCCTTATCTTGACATGGTTTGAGGTACTCTCGGTACCTCGCCATGCGTGGTTTTTACGGCGAGACAATAGCGTTTCATCGATCTCGACGTGCAGACCTGGGCCGTCGATAGTTGTTGGAGTCCGCAAAAGCTGCCAGGCGCAAACTTCGTGAAGGAAGTTCTTCCAGTCAACAGCGGTCGTGTGAGCAGAATTAGATTTTTGCCAAACTTTTGGACTAGCAATAAATGAATGGAATTACTGTCCTAAACTCCATCTTAGACCGCTCCAGCCAAGTTCTCTTTGAAAGACCGATTTCTTGCCGACACTGTCGGGCATTATACCTCCACCTGAAAGAAGCAGTTGAAAATCTTATTTAGTGGCCATTGTTGCATAAATGTTGCTGGTGAATCACTCCGTAGCCTTGCAAAAAACGTATCGCCGTCCCCTTGTCATGAACGAGAGCCGAAAGCGTCAGAAAGTTCATTTAAGGTTTTACGTCCGAACGGAGAAAATGTTTGCACAAAATGAGCCTAGATGCGGATAAGGAATTGTGTTTTCATCAAAAATAGGTCAAGGCTGTGTGCGTACATTAAATTGGATCTGGCAAAAGGTGGCGGGGCTTATCTGGAAAAGATCCAACATTGCTGTGTTAGGTGTTGGATTGACGCGACGTTTCAGATAACATGGAATCCTTACAGGAATTGAGCCACTATTAAAATGTCAGAGTCCGGTTGGAGGTGGAACATACTCAGATGGTGTGTTGGACCGCAGATATCTCAAAAAAGTGATATCTTTGGTCTCCACATCGATAGATGTGTTACTATTTGAAAAACGGTCGATGAGTAGCCATAAGCATTCAGCTTTCCTCAAAAAGATATGGAATCTTAAATTTGACGGACATGATTTGGAATGGTCACTTACGGACAAGGCTTCGGTGCTTTGGAATTTATTTATTTATACTAAAAAAATTGGAATGGTCATGTACTTTGAAATGCCACGATTTGAAAGTTGGATGAGCTCATCTGGTGGGCCATCGAGACCCGAGCGAGAGGTTCCGTTGAATCTCCTAGTAGCACTGTTTGAATTTGCAATAGTTTTCGTACCGACAGTGTGGTCATATAATTTGATCCAGGGGTATATGAGTACAGGTAATTTCCGATCGTGTGTTCCAACATGGCTCGTATCAACTTAGAGATCGCTCAACGACGGTTACGTGACAGCTACCGATTTTTAGAGGTAATCGTTGGAATCAAACGAATCAACACTGAACTAAACACAAATCCACCAGTGACTATGGGCGGAACCGTCTAGCCAAGTATTAGGTCATCCAGGGCTTCAGCTTGCGGTATGCATGTGCGCTTCTCTTGTTATTCAGTTCGAAAGACTCGACTCGAATGGAAGTTCAGTGATTTCTTCAGATTATGCAAGACCCTAGCACCAACGAAGCAGACAACCGCGTGACGGCTTCGACCTTGAGCAATTAATTCCCATGCATATATGTCCGTCTGTTTGCAGCAGGCACATGTCAGGTAAACAGGTAGACAAGAAAGGGAGTTCGGTTCATCAGGAATTAAGATATAAGATGAGAAAAACTGATTGGTAGAGTTCACAGGGTGCGTACTGTTGAACCCTTGAGGGAGTTTCGAAGGCACGAAAGTAGACTTTCATCTTTGAAAGGTCAACTAACATCGGTTAGTTTCAGATAGATCCATAAAACAAGCAGTGCGACAGAAAGTGTCTCATCTAATGTTTGAACCAGGGTGACAATCATGTCACGTGAGGGGCAGAGGAAAGGGCTGTACTCTTTTGAAAACAGATTTAAGAGATTTCTCCTTCTTCTTCGTTGAGAAATTCACTTAGGGCAGTCATATACAAAAGAAAGTGGGGTTGCACTTTTCTACAATATGATGGGTCCATATTTAGTCACGTTGTACTTCACTGAAGGTCTCTTGCAATCGTGTCATGTCGGTGGACTGATCGTCCTAAAACAGCTCACAAGACACTTCCTCACCGTGCCGCTCAAATATATTTCTGAATAATTGTAGCTTGTTGTGAGATTCTTATTCACATTGATCTCGTTTGAACGATCCCTGTCTTGTTTCGACACAAATATTCTGGTGTGTCTACACCACCAAAAATAGGGGGCACTGGACTGGAGCTTCACTCTTATTAGACCTCATCAGCAGAGCATATTCTTGACCGTACCCGGGGTTTGAACCTCACACATCTGACATGCGAGGAAAGCGTATTACGGCTGCTCCACCAGCGCATACTGAACGGATCCAACAGCCACCTGATCAACAACCAATGAACGGATCTTTATTTCCACATCTAAACAGGTAAATGTGTTCACGCTTGAAAGACGTGATTGGCTTTTCCACACATCTCGAAAGACGACCCAGTGGTTGTCCTCGTTTTGTCGATCGACTGACTCACCTGTCAGGACTTCCCGGTCAGATGGTTCCACGGACGCTTGGACAACTTTCTTCTGGATAGTCGTAGGTATTTGCGGGATTGGTAGGATTCATATTCACACCCGGAGTCCAAATTCCGGCACCCCCACGGATATACATTGCTGGGAAGCTCTGGTGGGCAGAATTCCAGTGCTGCCCGCTTTGACGAATTCAGAAAAATAACGGTACTTTCCCTATGGAACTCTGTGGCTGTGATCAGGTCTACCGTGTTTGAAGAGTGAAACGTAAAATTGCCCGTCCCGACATGTACTATATCCTTACCAAACTGTTCCCATCTCACTTGCAAGAGATTCTTTCAGACAGCTGGTCGGTTCAACTGAAAGTGTCTAAACGCTCAGCTCCATCCACTTCCACCTCCTGATAGGGATGCCACGATAAAGCTACATTCAGTTATCGTCAAAACAACTTTCGAAAACCAGAAAAATCTCTCTTCATCTTACTATTTTTTACCACATCTGGACAAAAAAAACCGATGAAGTTTCGCGCTCAGTATAAACTACAAGCACTACCAAGTTTCAGAAAGGGGTTAGGCTCGAGATGGCTCAGAAGATCCGTGGTTCTCAACCTCTACATCCCGACTGCACTTGTCTGGGATTGGGCGACCGGGCAGTATCTCAGCCCCCGTGCTTTCTTCGGATGGTAGTTAAGCACCGAAAGGAGATTAAAGCCGGACGCCTATATTATCATCATCGTCATCATCATTATCTAAGAGGGATGCCTACTGGTCCCTACTGAGCGTGATCGTTGTAAGTAATACGTCCTGGACAGACAAGTCTCTTGTGTGGGATCTGACTGTTTTCTCTGAAGACGGGACTACCACTGTATCTATCAAGACCGTATCAACAAAAGGGGGCGAGATGACTCATTGGTTAGCGCGCGAATATACTGACCGGAAGGTTCCAGCCCGAGGTCTGCATCTCGACTTGGATAACCTGACAGTATCCTAACCCTCGTACTTCCTTCTGGCGGCATGGCAGTTAGGCAACGAAAGGCTGCTACAGCTGAAAGATGTTTTTAATGAACAAAAGAAAGTTCGAAAACTTTTCGACGAATTTCAAGTGTCGAGAAGCTCGGATTGCATTTGTAAGACATCCATATACAAAATCTAAGATCTCGCAATAGCGTGTCTCGAAAGAGTTGCGCAAACCAGGCTAGATTTCAGTAACGTAACCAAGAATAAACGAGGAGAACATATGGTGCAACAGCAGGTACGGTCCTGCCAAAGGATCACTTGAACTGAGGTCACTTACCAAGCGAATGCGGTAGGATTTGGCGTCAACAATCTTAGAATCTGAACTTTCATCCAGAACAAATGTGATCGCTTGTTTCGTCTCCTGGTGGGTCAGTTGGAGGAATACTTGATGGGCAGTTAATGGCGTTTTCGTGTCACTGTCCTCAGTCAAACCTATGTTGACCAAAAGTTGTTGTCCGTGGTCTATATTGATTGCGCCATCCGGCGTGGCAGCAGTATATTGTTGACCCGGTTGGAACCTGAAGTATGCATAAGCACGGAACTACGTGTTATATAAATCGGATGGAATATAAACAGTAAAGCAATAGAAGAAGACGAAATTGACTAATTCAAGGAATATTACGACCCGCACCTGAAGGGTCTTGAGGTAGTTCAGTGGCGTCAGATAACGGACTGGAATTTCCGTCAGCAACTGGCTAGACTTAGGCGGCCTGGCAGTATCCCTTCTGGTGGCAAGACAGCTAGGCACCGTAAGGGTATTGTAGCTGAACGACTGTCTACTCTTTTTGGTTAGGTTACTACATCCCAGAGACATGCAAACGAATAAACATGATAACATATTTACCCAGTAAGATAAACCAGCTGAATTCTGCGGTAATCCTCCTAGCTTACGGGATTCTTAAAATCCCTTTTCATATCACTGGATGTAATTACTCCGGTTGGTCCATACCAAAGAGCAGGAGCACCAGAAGTTTCGATCGATTTTATCAGAACGACCCAGCTAAGGAGTTATGCACTGCTGTCGAGTTTCCCAAAGGGTGAAGCTCGAATCCCAAGGTCCCCCCTATTTAGTAGTGGACTAATTTCGCCAGAATGGAACAAGGGCTCTCCAAACCACAAATAGGCAAGGTGTTCAGAGTAGGCGTGACTCAACCTTCTGAGAATTGGCAAAGAAAAACTCGATTCACTCACTTGATATCAGCTATGTGATGTTCATGAGCTGCATCCAATAACGTCGCCATGGCACCGACCACCTTTGGCTTTACCAGCACCACNTTACCCAGTAAGATAAACCAGCTGAATTCTGCGGTAATCCTCCTAGCTTACGGGATTCTTAAAATCCCTTTTCATATCACTGGATGTAATTACTCCGGTTGGTCCATACCAAAGAGCAGGAGCACCAGATTGAAGTTTCGATTTTATCAGAACGACCCAGCTAAGGAGTTATGCACTGCTGTCGAGTTTCCCAAAGGGTGAAGCTCGAATCCCAAGGTCCCCCCTATTTAGTAGTGGACTAATTTCGCCAGAATGGAACAAGGGCTCTCCAAACCACAAATAGGCAAGGTGTTCAGAGTAGGCGTGACTCAACCTTCTGAGAATTGGCAAAGAAAAACTCGATTCACTCACTTGATATCAGCTATGTGATGTTCATGAGCTGCATCCAATAACGTCGCCATGGCACCGACCACCTTTGGCTTTACCAGCACCACCAGTGGAAGCTGCGGATAGGAGTTGAACACAAACAAGCAGAAGGAACGATAAGTGTGGTATTACGTCATTGGATAACGGAATGAACGAATTCTACACCAAATCCAGAACATTAAGGCTGAGTATAAACGAACGCCTACTTTTGTATAAATTCGGACAGGCATCCTAGTCAGGAGAGTAGCGAAAGCGAGCCGGTGACCGACCTCTGATCAAAGGATGCGACCACGGTTCTGTGTGAGGCTTGAGCACGTCAACTTAAGTGACGATGCGGACTAGGCTGAACTGTTATTGGGGGGGGGGGGGCCTGAAAACTAACCTGTTAGATTGTCGCTCTACAGTTTATCTGAATGGATCGTAGAGTGAGTCCGTCTTTAAAGCTACGGTTGGAGGAGGATCAGCGTAGAACTATCTGTAGCAGCGATGGCTTCTGGTACACTGCTGTGGCATCATCATCATCATCAACAGTAGGACATGAGTGTTCAACACCGATGCTTCACTGCCGGCTTGGAACCAAATAATAGTGTTTGATCAATACTGGATTCCCGAGACGGTACACATTGTATCCCGAAACTCCTCGCACGACTACGAACATTGCTTGCAGACCAACCAATCGACGTGGTAGATAAATTTGTGTTAGGCGGAATTCCACACGGATTCCTTTTTACCACTCGCACCCAGGTGCTCCTACGGCCGAGAAGTCCATCCCACGCAAGACTGGCCAAAAATTGGGGACACTTGCCGGTCCGGCATCAAGACGAGATTTGATTAGTCGAAAGTCTGAACCCAACAGGCAATTATGACCCAGTATTGGCCGAATGCCGGTTGCCAATGACGCACCAGAACGCGTCAGAATTTCCAGAAAGTTATAACCGCCTACGCTATATATATGAAGCGCTGTACAACTGTTCCTGACTTCGTTTTTGGCGTTAATATACCTTGTGCACCCTTTGTGGTTGTTTTGACGTGCACGCCAGCTTGGGAGGCTTAGACCGAGAACCAAGCTGAGAAAAATATCGTTACTACAATTTGTTTACCTGGATAGTTGTATAACACCCAGTGGCGTGGCTGGAGACGAGATCATTTCTCAGATCGAGAAGACCAGGGCAACTTCTGTCAACCTCCGACACTTATGGCGCCGGCGTGAAGTCCGCTTTTCTACTAAGGGCTAGTGCCGCGATGCGACCAACACTGCTCTAAGGATCAGGAAAGAGGCTTCTACGCGCAAAAAATGTGTGAAAATTGCCAGTATTTGACCATCAGCATCCTCGAAGCAGTGGCCTGGTCATATGGAAACATTGGATTATCAATTCTGAGATACGCCAGAAAGTTTTAGGCAAAAAGAGCTCTCCCACGGTGGATAATCTACTTGAGCTCCATAGGCTACGCTGGTTAGGACATGTACATTGCATGCCAGAGGACCGTATGCCTTACAAACCGCCGTAACTAGAGCCAACATACACTGAAAATCCGAGGTGGACTATATAGCTGATTCACCCTTACTGGGAATCATCGGTAGTGCGGATCTCACGAAACTCAAAGGGTTCGAACCCGCGACCAGTGGTTGAACATTCCATTGCACGGGGGAGGTGGGGGGCTGAACAGCAGGGCGACTAGTTCTCACTTAGACAGGATGTAGGGCCGCTCATTCTGGTTTCTCGAGCGACGGCTTCTCAGATGGAAGTTACACCCATTTTGAGGAATTAGACATCATCTGAAGCACTTATGGATTGATTGTAGTGTGAGGAAATTCGCTAGTTGTCAAATTGGGTTTCGGTCAAGTGTCCAAACTACTAGCCGGCCGGTCGCGGTTTCGAGACTCCTTGGTGCTTTGTGAGGTGTGAACTGCCGTTGATTCCCATAAAGGACGAAACAGTTGTGCAGTTTGGGTTAGTTATTGACAGAACAAAACAACAATTGAAAATGAAGAAGTTGTTTCACAGTTTAGCATCGTTGTCACTCGTCCGTCCAGCCTGGTAACAACGTTTCTACTTGGTTTCCTTGGATCTGATTGTACGCTTTTTTCCAACAGGGAAAGAGACTTCTCTCTCTCTCTCTACAATAGTATTCTAGCAAAACAGCTTCCCGCAAGAAAGGCTAAGTGCTTCCCTATGTTAGTTCATCTTGGAGAAAATCATTGTAGATAGTGTGGAAAGTATCAAGAAATCGGTTTGAAAGCAACCTAATCATCACTGGTAGTAATCCTGTACCAACATATTAAATAGACAATGCAACGGGTATTTTCGCTTCTCATTGTAGGCTTTTCCGTTACGAAAACACATAGCTCAGCTGCACTGCGAATGATCGATTAACTGAAAAGTAGATCGAAACATCAACCTGATTAACTTCACCGAATACGCGAACCATCTGAGTGAGTGAATGAATGCACAAACGTGTTTGACAGTCACAATTATGACGAGAAGGCTATCAAAAAGGAAGTAGCTAGGAGGTTATTTTTTCTTTATTCTGATTGTTGCAACCATTCGCTTGAAGGTGAGTAGTCATGAAAAGTTACGCCGGCTAGCTGTTAGAAGATGATCGCAAGAATACCGCTATCTAAACCGGCACTAGCTCCGAGTGACTCCAAGTTATAGCTATTTACTGTTTGGTTGTTGGTTGGTTCGTCGCAAAAGTTTCATCCCCGATTGAGATGGCATCGTCATTTCGTGGTTGAGTGGGTGAATTCCTCCTCTTCTGCCTGCGTTTATATAGCTTCTAACCAGTACCTGATAACCCTAAAGTGATTGGTTGGTCCCAAGTTGGTTTTCGCGTAACTTGGTTGGTCAGCTTGGAAGCTGGGTTGCGTTTGGTTCGTTGGACGCTTCCAATTCAACAGGTGTATTCCTCCATTGTGGTTGGGCGGATTCCTTTTTGTTTGGTGGTATGATTTCGTTCCACTTTCGGTAGCTTTGTTTCTTTGAAATACTTGGTCTGTAGGATGTCGTTAAGTTGATTGACTTCCCATGTGGTTCAGAATTCCGCAACTGTGCAATTCTATTGTTCGTATTAGCTGATAGACTGGGTCGATGCCGGTGTGTTTACAGATCGACTTTTGTGTGGAGTACCAAGCCTCGGCAGATTTCCGCTTCTGTTTTGTTCTTGCGTGTCCTGCGTCTTCATGAATTGAAAAAGTGACACTGGGTCATGTTTTCGGCTGGCAAGCATTCGTGAATGTATTCTAGTGGTCAGCTTTTTCCAGTCTCGCAAATATAGTATTTGTCGCATTCGTTACATTGAATCTTTCAGCATTATATAAGCTTTCGTGATGAGGTAAAAGGAGAGGAACAAACCTTTCGGGGGCACATTCACTCATAACATAACCACGACTAACAGTCAATCGCATGGAACAGTTCGTGCCGTTATAGCTGATCTACTAACGAATGTTGATAAGAAGCACGTGAGATGAAAGACACACGCTGTGCACACTTACTTGGACACCAGTCAACCCCAGGATTGTGCGTTTCTCGGCCGAGTTTGTCCACTGACCGGAAACTTCCAATTCATAATGTCCACAAGCCGGCAGAGTGCCATCCGGTCCACGGAGCGATAGTTGATACGCTGACCTGTGCAAGTTTGAAAGAGGACAAGAAAGTTATTGTAAACAGTGCAGTTGAGCGGTGTGTGAAAAGTACTGGTGTTCGACTGAATAACCTAGGCACCAAAGATAATGTATTGAAATGCGCCGTGACCTCTCTGGATATTTAGGAAATCACCCAACTGGTCACAAAAATTCTGCCTCGCCATGTGGTCCAAATCTTATTCTTAAATCATTTTGCGAGCTACACTGCCTTTGTAACTAGAACCCCAATGCAGGACAGGCTCTTTCGGATAGCGGATGATTCTATGGAGAGTCTAAATGGTATTCTTTGCCGACTGAGGCAGAATGTGTAATCTCAACCCACAAGGGAAGGTCGTGGAGATCTTTACTTGTGGATAGGAAAGTCATTGTACTTCGACTTTTTGCAGCATGGAACCTTATTAGAAATAGAAAGACCAACCCTCATCTCTTTAGCGACTAGCATCATGATTCAGGGACGTGCATAGATATGCGATCCTCGTCCGGTTGCGCTCGGGATATAAAGTGACACAATAATCTCTCCGAGGAAAAAATGGGCATTCGGTTTTTCCTCGGAAGGGGTAACACAATACGTCAGGGATAACGGAGAACGCTATCGTGAAATCTCCAGATAAGCGGTCTCTCTGAATGGGCTCCGGAATACACACAGCGTGAATATCAAGGCTCCAGTTCTTAGCAAGACAGATTTACGGCTCGTATAAAACGCCTGCTTTGCGACCGATCCTGTCTCGGCAAGTACAACCCATAATGTATGCTTAAGCGTTCCCTACAAGTGTTATGGTAAGTAGCCTTCGATGGGGGCGGGCGATGGGGTGAGAACAAAATCGATCACTCCTCGTGATGGTCTTTCTTCGACGAGATCACTGCATACATATCAGGGAGGCCAGACTCGTGAAAGCAACCAGTGAAGGCCCGAAATCTACTGAGACCCTCAGCTCCGCTAGATGTTGACCAGACAGACAACGCCCCCTCAATATGCAGGGTTTCACAACCTTGTAACAAACCCAAGCAGCGAGAGTCAGCGTTGATCAAGGTCAGACAACGCCCCCACAATATGCAGCGCATCGCAACCTCGTACCAAAGCCAGACCGCGTGCGTCAGCACTGGACCACGTTAGACAGTGTCCATCCAATAACTAGCTTGAGACCGTTGTACTTTCGCACTCGCACACACCCACGCTCTAGCACTCGCTTGTTCGGAATATGACTGTTGCGTTCCCTTCTGTGAGTCTTTTTTCAGGCATTAGGAACTAGAGCGGGTCGGCAGTCAGACACAACAGATATAACAATACACCTCAATGGGAAACTTCTTCTCAGCTCCGCTAGATGTTGACCAGACAGACAACGCCCCCTCAATATGAAGGGTTTCACAACCTTGTAACAAACCCAAGCAGCGAGAGTCAGCGTTGATCAAGGTCAGACAACGCCCCCACAATATGCAGCGCATCGCAACCTCGTACCAAAGCCAGACCGCGTGCGTCAGCACTGGACCACGTTAGACAGTGTCCATCCAATAACTAGCTTGAGACCGTTGTACTTTCGCACTCGCACACACCCACGCTCTAGCACTCGCTTGTTCGGAATATGACTGTTGCGTTCCCTTCTGTGAGTCTTTTTTCAGGCATTAGGAACTAGAGCGGGTAGGCAGTCAGACACAGCAGATATAACAATACACCTCATTGGGGAAACTTCTTGCCATGAACTCTGTCCACTTGTGGTAGCCTTGTGGTGCGTAGCTGCCATCCGAGCAAAGCAAGATAGCTGAAACACTGCCAGCTGACCCATACAGGAGCGTTCACAAAATCAGGAATGGATCCAAAGCAATACTCAAACCTCTGGGCTATCCAAATCTCGTGCCGGTAGTTAAGGTGTGATGTGAGATAGAATTTATACACAATTGTAAACACTGCATCAAGTACCGAAGGTCTTCGAAAAAGGTCTGGGCCCCTAGTCGGAAATGATCGGCTGTACAACATTGTGAGTTGTACGCCTTAGCATTAGGAAAACAGCAAACCCCACTATCCCATTACCACTGATTCTGATCGCAAAGGATTCCGCTACCATATGAAAAGTATCAAACAGTGGCATATATTGTCGACAAAAGACACTAAACACTTCGGGGACCTGTGAATACATACGTTTTGTGTCAGTTCCCCTTTGAATTGGCTCATATCAAGCCAAAATTTGGTCGAGTCTCCGGGAGTTATCGATAGTACATGTAGTTGAGGGGGGAAAGAATCTAGGTTAAGTAGTTCTGTTCTAATGCATTTGTGAATTAGGCTGGTGACTAAGTTTCGTCAGAACCATTAGGCATTGGTAAAGGTTGATCCGTGAACTTCATCATGGGATGAGTCTCATATTCGGACTTTTCTCAGCCCTTTCAAGCTCAAGGGGTCTTCACATCTTGCACAATTACCGCACGGCTAATTCACATATTCGGATTAGTGTAACTGTCGAGTCTCATTTTAAATCAACCGTAATGGAGGTATCTTATTTCGACAGGGCACTCAGATGTGTTGATTTTGCTGCTGCTCGAAGGCTGTTTGGATAAAGTTTCCACCCTTCCACTTTTCTCTAATGTTTCCGTTTCTTACTGCTGTATGGCATTTACGTGCCGTTGCTTACTACAGGTGTATTCTTGTTAACAATGATGGAGATGACGAATAATGTTTTTTTTGCTCGAAGGCGTATGGAGGAAGGGCTGTTTGGATAAAGTTTCCACCCTTCCACTTTTCTCTAATGTTTCCGTTTCTTACTGCTGTATGGCATTTACGTGCCGTTGCTTACTACAGGTGTATTCTTGTTAACAATGATGGAGATGACGTATAAATGTTTTTTTTTTCGGCGCGGTGTTGTGCGTGAAGATCGTAACGGATGGTAGTGAGAATTTATACACATGTAAACTTGGGACGCGAATAACAACGAACTACTTTTGGCGTGTAAGTAGTCAATTCCGAGCGCGTTTTAGTCACGCTAGGGAGGGGCGGAGGGCCTAACTGGGGTGTCACGAGGCTCATCCGTAACGAACGTTGGGAATCCTGTGCAGTTTTGCATAGTATACAGAACGACAGACAGAACTGGGAGGTGATTCGTTTTCTTAATGCAACCGACTTTTACTGGGGTCTACAATAACAGTGGTGGTGAGCTCTTACGCTGCACTGGCATATGGTCATGACTGTTCCGGAATAAAATTCCTTTGTGCGAAAGTTGAGAACAAGAAACTTAATGGTATCCAGAACCCAAGGTTTCTTATAATCCAAAATGAGGAGGCTTGGAATCTTGGTAGGCCACGTCTCCGACAGTACTTAATGAATAGGGTGAAGAGGCGAAGAATATCACGCCATTTATGTCCGAGTTTCGATGGAAGTTCCAACTGACCAGCCGAAGAGAGCTGTCTCAACGAAGATTGGATTAAAATGGCAAAATAGTCGACAAGCGCGCTCAGAAGAGTGGATTTTGCAGACCATCAACACACAGCGCCCGGTGATTTCGCCGAGTCACGAAACCCTAGACCTGGTAGTCTGTTCGATATATGATGAATTTATGTAACGGTTACGTCAAATAGCTTAAGGAAATGAATTTCTGACTGATTCACCCGTTCGATTTGGGAGAATCAAAAGAAATTAATCGGAGACAGCCAGTTATTTGTGTACTCACTTGCCATGAGGTTTGAATGCACCACGCTCGTTTGGACCAACCAGAGTTCGTATATTGTTCGAACGTTGAATGGCAGACAGACCGCCAGCCTTCAGGGCCAATTTGTCAGCAGAATAGGTAACATCACCCCAGATGTTAGTCAGAGTGAGTTGGACGTCAGGTTGATTACGGTGAACTGAACCAGCCGTGGCAGCACGCACGCCAGACTGGATTACAATAGGGGCCTAATGAAAAAACAATAGATACGTTTGTTGATGATAACGGTGAGAAAGGGAAAACGAGGGTATGGAGGCTGTCAAAACGCAAGTTCAACTAACCTTCACCGGCAGAGGATTTCTAGTGAGTGAATGATCTGAGTAGATGTAACCACCGCGTGTTCATAAATGAACGATGAACAGCAGGTCGGCTGCTGCGATCCACAACAAGATCTCAATTGAATAACATGTACACCCCTCGCTTAAACTAACTACAAAACTGTCAGTGATCTAGATCCATTGGTGTTTATGGGTTTCAGCTCGGCAACGTTTTTCACTATCAGAGTACAGGGTGGAACTGGTCTTCTTCGGGAAAATGCTCATTCTTCTGGAATTAGTTTCACTGATGCAACCTATCCACCTACGTTTTCCCAGGGTGCGCAGCCAATAACTGTTTTATTTCATTCAGTTTATCTCACGATGACAAATCGCACGCCACCCGGAGGAAGCACGAGGGCTGGGATACTGCCAGGTTGCCCTAGTCTGGACAGGGGAAGCCGAGAAGTGGAGGTCGGTTTCGAACCACAGACCTTCCGGTCAGTAAATTCGCGCTTTAACCACTGAACCATCTTACCAGAACGAATCGCGCAGCTGAATATCTGTTGTTACGCACAACATTCTCTTTCTCTAAGGCATGTCAGTCCTGCTGCTGTCATTGATTGAGGTCCCTACAGTGACCGTTTCCGGTCAAACTTGCAGCTTTCTGATGGTGACAAATAGAATGCACGTGAGTCCCTCAGTCCTCCAAAGAATGGACGTAGACGTCATATCAAAAGGAGCGCCATGATGAAACAAACTCCACAGTGTCCATTCCTTTGAAGTGGATGTCGGTGGTCGCTGTCACGAAATTTTGCTATCCTTGTCGTCACTCTCTTCTTGTGCAATTCGACCAGTTGGCTCCGCTTTCGGGGAACAAAACAAACTCCACAGTGTCCATTCCTTTGAAGTGGATGTCGATGGTCGCTGTCACGAAATTTTGCTATCCTTGTCGTCACTCTCTTCTTGTGCAGTTCGACCAGTTGGCTCCGCTTTCGTGGGAACAAAATTTGATTACTATACAAAATACAAACGAGCCGTTTGCATGGACGGATTCGTATCAGGACAAACTTAGGATTTTATGTTCTCCAAGCAACACACTATTACACAGATCCTGCATGTGATTATGGAGACATCGTTTCAAAAAATCCCCCAATGCTGTACAATGGGTGCCTCTTGGGTAAAGATGGTTCTCAGTCATCATGTGAACGATCAAGATACACAGCGCCTAGGAGGTTTGACTCATTTGAGTCCCATATAACCCGAGAACAATTGGGAACAATGTAGGAGTGCAGCGGCATAGTTTTTACTAATTCATAGCATATCTGATTCAGCATACCTTCATGAGGAAGCAGTCTTGTAGAACAGATTGTTTTAATGTCAGGGTGCTTTTGCGTTTTTTTTCCAACTCAAACAACCCAGTAAAACTGAGGAGTAGGTAGACGTAACGTACTACTCATAAGGATGTTGGAAACTACTGGACAGCTTACCACCGATTTGGCCCTTCATGGGGTTCATAAGGTAGGCACAGACCGTGTGTTATGCCTGGATTTCATAAAAACTGTGTTACATCTAGACAATGTATGGCAATATCTCGAATATCATACCGATTGAAGCATGAGGCGGTCTTGTGCAACACATTCAATTGAGTACCTGGTCAAAACCGAATTACTGTGCAGATAAGAGTATTTAAGGGCTGGATACTTTTGTAGTTTACGTACCCCGCAGGGGAAGCACCAGAATGAGAACACCAGATTTATAGATATGGTTGCACATTCACACAGACGGCCAATTTTCTATTCCACCTAATTGACGATTGATCAAAACAAGCGTACCTCCTCTGTCCACTGATGGCATATCAGTTGAATAGTTTTTTGTCCTCGTTCGTGTTACCACCGGCTTCGCTACTAGGCCTTATGCAGAACACACGTTTCAGTGCTTGTTTCCTGTAATCATGTCGCCGTAATGCGTCACAACAGTTTGTGCTTATCTGGTGATGCCGCAAGTGCACACTGAGCATTACATCATTATCATCGTCATCAGAGAGAGTAACATCAGTGCTGAGACACTGATACTTCACTGCCGTACAACCACAAAGTTTATTCACTTATACTTAGTGGCCTAAGGTGAAAAGAAGATAAAAGTGTGGGTGTGGGAGGGGACCTGGTGCTGGCCTACATCAAGCGTTCTGAGCTGCCTGCACCTCCGAACACTCAATCAAGCAATCTGGAAAGAAATTGACAGCATAAATGCCACTGACATCGACTGGTCACCATTTCACGCAACGCCTCCAGCCAACCGCGCGAACGGTTACATGGACTCTATCCTGGTAGGCGGCCCACACCAAGAACATCTAAACTTTTCGTACACCCTTCTACCAGTCATACGTTGACTAGCTAGTGCGTTGCGCCTTCCTCAAAGAGATAAGGAGAACAAAATTCGTCTCGGTAGACGGTGTGTCGGCATGCGTGGAACATGGCCGAGCCACCGCTGAACGTGCTGCTATTAACTTTCGGGTTCAGCCAGGTGGAGCGAGAACTCTCTTCATAATGATCAAAACACCAAGGGCTACGAGCTCGTCCACATTTCTCCGTCACTGATTTGCAGGAGTATTGAATGCTTGGTGCGTTCACTTCAGCGAGCTCGTCCACATTTCTCCGTCACTGATCTGCAGTGTTCATGCTAGTAAGCTCATTTTCTCATCCGGCAGGCATTTAGGTCCTCTGAGGCTCTGGAATTTAATTTCAGGTTGCGATCCCACTACTAACAACGGATTAGTAACATAGGGATAAAAACCTCCCAAGAGGCGGGGATCACGGTGCGATGTAGGTGAATTGTCCAAAGGCGTACAAGTATTAACTCATCCTATCAGGAAGATGGAACTCATTGTGTGTATGTATCGCCGCATAAACTGGAGGGGAGTTTCAAAACGGTTGGATTTGAGGCATTATCCGAAAACATACGTACGACAGTCAGTACTCACAATGTGCGGGTTTTTGTCCAAACTCCTCAGGGCGGAGATCAAATGGGCGGCAGCGCGGAGATTGTTCGACTTGACACGAGCGAGCAAGAAGTTGATCAATTTGACCAGCTTGTGCTGTAAGGAAAGAAAGTTTTGTATATGGTCAGGCTGACAATAACAGAATTCAAGTTACGAGTAGGACAGGTTCCCATTCTGAGTGGTGACAAAGAATACTCTATTGAGGATGTAAGAACATGGCTGACAACTTTTAGCTAAACAAGGGATCACCATGATTGATATCAGTAGCATTGCTGTAACACCAAGGCTTCACTAACGTACGACCGTGTCGATCGAATGAAAGCTGTGGTGTGTAGAGAGAGCGAAATGGAGAATGGAAGGAAGCAATCACAAGACTACAACGGGTTTCCGAGGTAGCTGAACTTCGGCAGTCAGCCAACGGAAGCCATTGACTTCGGATTCTGACATCTTTCAGTGTTTCCAGCTAGGTAGGGGAGCAAGTATATGGACCTCAATCCATCGGAACGTTTTGCAACCTCTTTCAGGTCATCCGTTACCCAACTATCGGTTAATGTCGTTTCGAAACTTTTTGCAGCACGAACGAACCACCGCAGTCCGTGATGGTTGATCAGGCATTGGGGTGAATTACGTGCCGCACAATCAGTAATCACACTAATGCAAATTTGCAGGCGTCAGCCTTTACCAGCGATGAGCCTAAGACATCCATGATCAAATGAACCTCAGATCCAACGACCATAAAACAACATAGTCCGCCCTGTAATCCGACAGACGCCTGAGACCCAATAAATAGTTCTGACGCCGTAGGTGACACACTCTAACCGACCGGATTGTTGTCTTCGAGAAGATGGAAGCGACTTCATCCGCCACACTACAG